CCTGGGTTGTCGAAATCAGTCTTAGCCAGCGAGGGAGGCTCAGCAGTGAGGCACGGATTTACTTCATGTAGAGTGTGTACTCAGAACGAATGCAGCCAATAGTTTGATAAATGCATCTGCCCAAAGGTGCAGAGTCAGTGTAGTCATCTCCATCCCAAAATATCTGCGTGCTGCATGATGAGCTTGGCAGCCAAGCACAGTTCTCCTGAGAAAAGCAAGCTGGGGAAGTGAAAAGGTAACGTTTAATAACTCCTATCAAAGCAAATGCTGAACAGAATTTCATGGGCTATTTCTGTTTTCATGCTAAACAGCAAAGGCCTACTGCAAATAGCAGAGAGAGCTCCTCTAAAGAGAAAAGGTCACAGGAATCTTTCACAATGGAAAATGCTCTGTTACACAGATCTGTACCAGCTCCTAATACAAAAGAAACACCATTTTTCTGTGCAACTTCTTATTGTCTCCATATGTTTACACAACAGAGACGCCAATTACAGCCTTTCCTTTCAAGTCCAAAGTAAGAGAATACAAGAATATTTGGCTAACAGGGTTTCCTTCCAATGAAGAGAATGTGAGGTGCAGAACAAAGGTGGGATTACTGACTCACAGAAACACCACGGAAGACATTTCAAAGACACAGACCTCCAGCTCAGCTCTGCTCCCACTGCCCTTACCATTGCCTTCAGCCAACACCAGCTTCATACCACTTCCAACTCAGACGTTATTACCTTTCAGTTTAAAATACATAACGATCCTCATAACAGTCTGAAAAATATTTCAGGAACTTTTTAAATCTGTTCCTCCAAGATACATTTTTATTTTTTTAAGCACGCTGAGACAGTTCCTGGATGGGAGCACATGTGACCAGTTCTAAATAAAGTCTATTTTCCACTTCTTGCACAACTGGAACAGATGTAAGCAGTAGCCTGAACAAACTGCATTGCAGAACCTAACCAGAATATAAAACACTCAAATAAGATCCGTAAATAGCAGTGCTATGAAGACTACCTCCAGTAAAGCACAAATTCAGTGCTGAGAAGCCTCAATGTAATCAAGTTTAAACTTAATCACGCTGCAAAGATCATTTGCAAAATTAAATTTGATCATCTGCAGATTGAGGCACTTCAGAAGAATCCTGTTGGGCTCCACAGTAAGCACACATCTCAGAAACGTTTGCCTCTGGTCACATTAACGTTTCCTAAACAAACACAGGGCGTTACAAGGAAAGCTGCTATTAAATTTGGTCTTCAGTGCTCAGCACAGTACCAGGAGGAAGCAAGTGAAGTGCTTTCCAGGGGATCCCAGCCAGGCATAGGGGAGGTACAAGCAGATGGAAGTAAGGTACCGACAGCTTACATCACTGCCGCAGCAATGACAAACTCTACAGCTCAATGCTATTGCTCATAAAGCAAGAACAAGCTTCCTCTACAACTAACACACAACTTAAAAGCATTTCCTAATCATTTTTTTCCACTAAAAATAACTCCAGTAGTTGCCATCGTTCCAAACCAGTCTGAATATAAACTGGCTGCAAAAGGGTAAAAGAAAATAGCACAACCAGCAGCAACCTAACTGCAGGTATGTGGCTTTATTTAGAGCAAGGAAGTAAATGACAACAGCTGATAATTATGTCCTGGCACTTCAGAGGCAGCTCACACCAATGCACACACATTACAGGGACTCAAGAAAACAGATCATTTTAATCTTTTTTTTTCTTTTTTTTTGTCTTTTATTTTTGGCCATATTTGGGTCAGTTCAGTGCACTGTGTGCACCTCAGTGGGTCAAGCTGTGCCTTCAGTGGTACCCGATCAATATCCACCCAAAGGAAAACGTGTACAGAACAGGGCAGGAGCAGGGTCAATAAGTGGTAACAGCATGCAGAATAGGCAAGAGGACAAAGTAAATACTATAGCAACTGCGAGCAACAGCAGTAGGCTGTGAGGCCCTCCCTTGAAGATCCCAGTTTGATACCCAAAGTAGAGCTTTAAAAAGTCAAACGTTCTAAAGAAACCACATTAGCACTGTGACAGATGTACTGTAACTGTGTTCTGGTGGCTGCGTGCAGAGGTGACATCTGTGTTTATTTCTGGCAATCACTGATTACTTTCTTCAATTGATTGTCTGAAAATAAAACTCCACCCATTTCACTGTGCACTGCTTACACCAAAAAGGAAACCTTATTTACCTGCTCATTACACAGGCACGTACGTACTCAAGAGTGTGTACTCACAAATTGGTCTCCAAAAATAAGGCAGCAGAGGAATGAAGTACAAATGTGAAGAGGGGGAAGGAAACCATGCCCAGCCACTGAGACATGAGTTCAAATCCAGTTTCCTCCCACAGCGAGGAGTCACTCTGGAGAAACCAAAGCAACCAAACCATCATCTTAGTTTTCAAAGATGTTCAACCACACCAAATTCCAGAGAACCCTAAGTGTATCTAGCGCTTTGTACAAGAAGCTAGGTTCTTACAGACCTGGAGAGCTTAGGAAACGTGGTTGGAAATGATGCATCTTTGTCCAATGACTTCTTTTCGTCCCTTGTGATTAAAGCTTTTTGCTGACATTTTTCCCTGGCCTCTAGTATTCAGTTGTGGCTTGGCCTAACTTCGTACAGTATTTACAGCAAAAAGCTTTTGTTATTGGACCCCTGGCAGCTTTGGATTGCAGACTTGAATTATGAAATACGGATAGACTAACCGAGACAGCACATCAACAAGGAGGAATCACAGAATCACACAGAATCACAGAATCACCCGGGTTGGAAGGGACCTCAAGGATCATGTAGTTCCAACCCCCCTGCCTAGCAGGGCCACCAAACACACACATTCAGATCAGGTTGCCCAGGACCCCGTCCAACCTGGCCTTGAACACGTCCAAGGACGGGGCATCCACAACCTCCCTGGGCAGCTCGTTCCAGGGCCTAACCACTCTCCTTGTAAAGAAGGAATATCGAGCTGGATGTCATACACCAAAAAACAAGCAACTGGGGAGGATGCGAGGAGAACACGACCTGAACAAGAGGCAGCCAGGACCAAGTTCAAGTGCCAATAAAACATTTCTTCTAGGGTCAGAGCCACTGGCACTGCTATGTACTGCTGAGCGGTGTGCCTTTTTCTATCTACTCACAATTTCAGTGCTGTGAGTAAGCCGAGGATGCTTCTCACTTCTTATTGTTAAAAAGCATCAGAGAAAGCCCTGAATGTTGCTAGGAAATCAGCAGTTCTCAACAGGGAAAGTAGCAGATCATTATTAAGCCCCAACCCCTAATACCAGTGCTTGCCTCTGTTCCACCTGTTCCGCTGGGTAAAGCTGTAGAGAGGACTGTAAGAAAGCAGTTTTTGTGGCTACAGCCCCATCATGACACCATTTGAACCCCGTGCTGTGCTATTACTCTGATTGCATTACAGAAGAAAGCAGCACAGTGATGCTGGATTCCCCAACGACCACCTGTCAGGCTTGGTTCAGACCTGAGCAGTGCTGAAGGACTACTGAAACCCCCACAGATTATAATCTGCACACTATGAAGCAGGCAGTTTTATGAGCAACTTCTGCCACTCATTATCAGGTTCCATCAGTCTGGCTCTGCTTCACATGGACCTAGCAGGGATGTCTGGGTCCTTGGCTCTTCAGCTCCAGCGTGGCCAGGAGTTGCTGGGACTCACCTGAAGGTGACAGCTGCACACAAGGCAGGTGACACAGCAAGGTCAGCACATCAGCCAACATGCTGGGGAAAGTCAGGGAAGCCCAAAGTGACAGCAAGGCAGCACATCACAAGAGCCAAGAGTGCTTGTAACATTTGTGCAAGACAACTTACAGATTACAGAGGAGATGACTGCAAAGGGACAAAACTGTAGCGCACACCAGCCAGAACCTGAAGCTGCTGCAATCCAGGCTGATAGCTGTGAATTGGTGACCTGCACGGTGACTGCTACAACACGGTCACTGACCCCATACCACCCCAGCTGCCTCCACAGCAGCAGGTCCACCTCCTCTGCACCCTTCACGTCTTTCACTATGAGACTGCCGTGCTTCTTCAGCACTCAGAGCACGATCAAGAATTCATCTGAAGTCAGTCTGACACGCAACGCAATCCAACTTCATTCCAGCAGTTTTTAATATTTACCTTCCCATTCATTTTCCAGCTACACACACAGCCGGACGCAGAGCATTGTTCAGAAGCACAAGCCGTGACTGTGAAAGCAAGCTAACAGCCCCGGCTGCAAAGAGATCCACCCATAGCAGAACCTGGTGCTGTGGTGAGGGCTCACTCCTGGCCCAGAGCTCAGAGTGGAGACACACAGAAAGCAGGAGGGCTCAGGGCATCTGGGGGCACTTCCAGCACCACGAGTGAAATCGGGCACAGTAATACACCAAAAGAAATAGAACTCTGTGTGGTTTTATTCCTCTTAAAAAGAAAAAAAATAAATCTAAGCGACATAGCCGCTTTGGGTAAGAATAATCTGCGGGAAAAAAAAGAAAAAAAACACTTCAGGAAGAAGCTGACACACCACCGAAAGTTTCCAATCCCCAGCGCTCGCTCGCACACAACACACCTGCTTTCAAAGTCAAATGAAAGAGATCGGCCCGGAACGCGAGACCTTGCGGCGACCGCGCAGCCAAAGCGCAAAGCACGGAGCGCATCGCAGCGCCTGTCCCCGCCCGGCCGGGGCTGTGGAACTCGACGGGACCGCGCAGTGCAGTGCAGCGCGGAGCAAAGCAAAGCAGTGCGGAGCAAAGCAGTGCAGAGCAGCCGGCCCCGTGCCCCGCCGACAATGCCCTTTACATAATGGCACGGCGGGGACGGGCCCGCCCCGCGCAGGCCGAACAGAACTGCCATTCTTGCAGGAAACACCGGCTCAATAGCTGCTTTTAACGCGCTGCTCCGCAGGACGTTCCCCTCCGGTGCCGTTTATCGCAGCCGCTCCCAACCCGTTCCCTTCCCCCAAGCCCCGATCCACGCCAGGACAGCGCGTCCTCCGCGGCCCGGCCGCCGCCGCCCACCTGCTTTTAAGCGGCTGACTCTTCAGCTCGTAGTACGTCTTGGGCTCCTCGTGGAACTCCTCTCCCACCTCGAAGTCCGGCACGATTCCCGACTCCGCCTGCATCGTCGCCGCCGCGAGAGGAGAGCCGCGAGGTGACCGCCGCTCCGCTCCGAGCCGAGCCGAGCCGCGCCGCTCCCGCACGCCCACAGCGCCGCGTCCGCCCCGCCCGGTACTGAGTCCGCCCCGGGGCCGGGCCGGGCCGCCGCCTCCGCCCGCCGCAACGCTACGGCTCGAGCCCCACGCGTGCCCACCTGCGGCCCCTCGGCCCCCGCCCCGCTCGGAGCTCGCGGCGTGACGTCACGGGGCTCTGAGCGCAGCTGGGCGTGACGTCACCGCCCCTTTGCGAGGCGGGGCTTTCCGTGACGTCCCGAAAATCCGCGTTTCGGGGTCAAAGTGGAAAAGTACGAGCTGGGGGCCGGCCCTTGTTAGCGGGACGGGCTCGGCGTGCGCTGAGAAGCAGGGAGGGACGCTCTGAATGCAAACGATGTGCAGGGAAAGTGTCGAGGCGGCACGGAGTGAGGTTTGTGGTAATACATGCAGAATGCCGGGGATTCCCGTACCAGGACGAGGTGAATTTCCAGCACAGCAATTTCAATTCAAGTTTTACATGCATTTATAAATGAGAAAAAACAAACAAACAAACAAACAAAAAAACCATAAACATCGCTGAGAAAGGTGTGGTAAAATTACTTTAAAAAAAAAAAAAAAAAGTGGGGTTTCAATCATTTGCAGCAGAAATCGTGAGAAGTACGCCAGATGGATTGCTGCAGGAGCAGGGACGCAAGCAAGCATCCCATCCCAGAGCTCTGCAGAAAGGGATGCTGTGACTGCAACAGCCTGGCTGGCTGCTCACATCGCACCCCACGCAAGCAAAGTTGAGCACAAATATCAGCATTGGGTCCCAAATGGCTCTGCAGCCTCCAAACTCTGTGCAGTGACTGCACAGTGAGAGCAATTACTTCCCTGAATCTGAATCAGAGGCGACAACTTGGATAGGGCCCCGAAGAGTGTTCTTTTGAGCCCACATTGGCAGATGGTAGGGATAGCTCTGAGGAGCCGTGGGCTCGCTAACTGCTTTGGGGGAGAAACGGAGGGGGAAAAAGCAACCACCAGGGGAAAAAGCAACCACCAAACAAACAGTGAGAACGACCTGCAAAAAGCCCGCTGCTAAGCTGCACTTTCAGCTGAGCTCCTTGAGATCAACGAGATGCTTTTGTGAGTGAAGGATGGTGCAAGGAAGCACGGTGCAGGACGCAGCTGGTTGTAAGGCTTCCCTTCTATATTTCTAGGTGCAAAAATGATATATTCTGCTGTTCAAAATGTACAGCATATGAGGTTTCAGCTTTGTTTTAATTATAGCACTAGTTCTAAAGATCCAGTATGCAAATCTATGTCCTAGGCAATGACACTGCTCTAGAGATATTGCAGCTTCAGTAGCAGCATGCGCACAGCTCACAGCACAGAGAACACTGCCTTTCCTTTCATTGCCCCACAAAGCCCTTATTTCTGTCTTTCACCCCTTTTCTGGGCCAGCACACAGTTGGTGTTCAGTGGGCAATATCTCACTGTACCTGGGCTAATTGGGACCTTGACAGCGTTCTGCTGAGTCACGAAAAGCTCTTCTCATAATAGATGGCATTGGTGCTTATAATTCTCTTGTAGAGCTTGTCTTTCAGAGAGAAGGAACAATACTTCCCCTGGGCCGAAGCTGGAAATTAGTACATAAACACACCCCCCAAACAAACAGAGTGCTTGAAGGTGAACCTATTATGCCAATATTGCAGTTAATTTGGTATAAAAATAAAGGAAAACAAACTCAAAAGAGATATTCAGTGAAATTAAAGAAGAAGTGGCTGTTGTGCTGTCATGAGTACTAGATTTCTGTAGAGCAATTCTATGGAGCATCGAGTGTTTCCCCGTTGTGAATGTCCAGCTGCTTTAGGGAAGCAGGGAAGAGCAATTACTGACAAAGTGGAAAATAAAACACCAAAAAGGTCATACATCAAATCAGTGGCAGAACTTGAGTTTTATCCCACTGATTACATTACAGAAATAACCCCACTGAGACCTTTCCCATGTAGGTTTTTTGTGGCACTATCATTCCTCCAAGGCCCGAGATCTGTGAGCAGGTCCAAAACACTCTCACAACCACATAGCCATGGGCAGCAAGCATGTTGAGCAGAGCTGCTTTATTGTTAGGATTATTTTCCCCTCGATGGTTCTCCTTGTCACCCTCATTTGTAGCAGCTTTGCTTACAGATCCCATAAGTTGTATTTTTTTCTCCTGACCTATAAATGCCATTTGAAACAGTTCTCCCATCAGTACTGTCACTCAAAGTGCAGTTTGGGGATCTCTGGTGACATCAGGAGCAGCAACATCATTTGGTATCTCTGTCAGTAGGCAAAACATTTGCCACCCAACTCAGCAGAGTTCCCAGTTTGAAAGAATTTCCCCACAGCAACTGTTTGTGCATTCATCTGAAGGGAAAAGGAAGCAGTCAATGCTGCTATTCAAAAAAGCAAACAGGCATGTGACAATTTTGAAGAAAGTTCCCAGGCAGGCCTTAGCACTCATACTCTGTACTGTATGCTGTGAGATCTGGGATGAGAACAGCATTACTCCAGCAGATCGAGGCAAGAAACTGTTTCTACCCTCTCTCTTTACTGGGCAGAATACTCTGACATACAAGAAAGCCAGCAGCCACATAGAGTGCAATAATTCCACATGGTTCATTTGCATGCAGGGATTGCCAGACACCAGAAGTAGACAGATGTTTTGGGGGTAATCCAACAATACTTTTGAGAGAGAGAGAATAACAGGCTGGGTGCCCCACATACAGGCAGGACAACTCACCCCACAAAGCACTTCTAAAAACATTTCTTGCAAGATTTGCATCTGCTTCTCATAGAAAAAGTTTCTGGTTCTCTCATGAGCACTCCAGGATAGATAAGCAGAAGTCATATTTTAAAATAGAGCTTCTAAGACTACTTCACCATACTTGGAACAAAGTCTAAAATGCTGTCAGTCCCAGGCTGGTTTTATCAGCAGAACTGAAGGTGATTAATTCTGCAGCTGGGCTCCTGAATGAATTCTGTTCCTTTAATGAGTCATGCACTAATCCGTAGCCCTTTCTTTCTTCATCTCTACCATATTCTTCTGTACTTAAATGGATAGGTGACAGAAAAATTCAAGGGGAACTACACAGTATCCTTAAGGGTTTGATTTTCATGCGTTCCTCTTTCCAGATGCTATCTCATGACACGGGTTAGCAACAGCAGTGGTAGCACAAACAGAAGCTGCAACAGCAATGTCATCCTGACTCTGCTTTAGGAAACATTAAGAAAAACCCTTGCCTGGGATTTCAGTTATTCCTTCCAGTTCTTGTTCAAAAGACTTGGCTTTCAAGATTTCCACAGTTAAGAGAGTGAACAGATGCTGCTAGCTCCAAGCAGACAGTGTTGGAGGCCACCACATTTCTGTGCAGTGAGGAACTGCAGATCCTGCAGCCAAGTGGGATTGGGCTGTAGGCAGCCTGGTCTACTGAGAGGTGTGTCTGCCCATGGGACAGCATTGGAAATGGAGGATCTTTAAGGTCCTTTCCAGGACCTCAAGCCGTTCTATGATTCTATCATCTTCCCTGGCCTAGGGAGGGACTGCAGGATGGAGAAGAGACATCTGAGGGTTCTCCCCTTGGGTCCTTGGCCAGCAGAGGACCTGGGGGGGCTACGTCTGGGAGAGCAACAGCAGAGTGAGACACCACGTGCTGCCACTCAACAGTGTCATTTGGCCTGGGAACAAACCTTTAAAACTCAGTAAAAGCAATGGAATAAAGCTTGTGGGGACAACCTTATTTGGTGCAACAAATCTGCAGAATTAAACTGGCGCAAAGGCCACAGCAGATGCAGATAAACCAAGTTAAATTCTAACAGTGATTTAATACAATTTGGTGCAGCATCAGTGCTAGTTAAACTGATTATAGAGTTAACTGGTTTCAATAAGTTTGCCCCAAGTACAGGCACTGGCTTAACTAGACTGCTTAAAGTCAAGAGAGAGCTTCAGCTCTGCCAGCTTTTCCCTGTTGTATTTAAACCAGCACAACCTGTAGGGACATGTGAGCGACTGCTTTTAACAGGGAGCAAAGTGCATCAAGAAAAGAGGACTTGGCCCAGGAATGCTGGCCACAGGCACCTTATTCTTAGCTTTCTTGAGAAACTGTGTCATCTTAACATCAACAACACTTAGGTCTAAATTTGTTCCTGAAAATCCTATTATAAAAGGTGAAACCAAAGTCACTTTTTTTTTTTTTTTTCCAAAATATACATAATCCAATCAATTTAGGGGGAAGGTGTTTGTTCTGTCTCCCCGCTGCCCAATAACAGTTTTGAATGGAAAGCCATTTTTTTCTCAGTAAGAACTTTCTACAGCTTTCTATTTTGATACAGACCTGTGAATGCTTCCCAAGCTTCATCTGTCTTTTGAAAGAGGCTTCATTACAAGAGCTATTTGGAGAACAAAACTTCCATTATTTTTAAGAGTTCAAGGTTATACACTGGAAATACAAAGGTCTGTACTTAGTAGTCACAAACTTGCATACTAAGGTCCTCATTTCCCTGATTCACATCAGGCCTTTACACATGCTCCATGAAGCACAAACCCTCTCAAAATGTCTTAGGATACACATTCCCTACCTGAAGTCAGAATCCCTTTGGTTTTTCTCATTGTCTGTATTTCCACAATCCTTTAACTCCAAACTGCACAGAGATAACTGGTACTATAAAAGACCCAAGCCATACAGAAGGAAAAGATTCCCAAAACTCTTCTTGAGTCATCATGAAGTGCTTTGTTCACAATCTGTCTACTGCAGAAATCCCAGCAGGGATTTAATACCTTTTTCCCCCTTTTCTTTCAGTGAGTTGCCATTGCTCTGACAAGAGGCAATGTAACTCTGTGTCATTGCCTCCATCTACCTGGAATGGATGATTTGCCAAAGGCATCTTTTCTGTGAAGGCAAGAGACTTGGTTTAAAAAAGTAGACTTTGTCAGACCCATTGTGAAGGAAAGCTGATATGACCTGATAGTCAGTCACAAGAATGTATCAAAGACCTGGTTTTGAGATGCTTGCATTCCAGCTGAAACCCACATACAGCCATACAGAGAGGATGCCCCTTCTTTCA